CTGAGAGAGAAGCATTTGCACCTGCACCTGCGACTGGTTGCTCTTGTCCTGACTTCACCTCTGGTCCCCAAACTTTACCGCCATCTCATCCCCTTTGGTGTGGTGCTGAGGAATAAAGTTCTCGTGGCGAACCTCCACAGTCTCACAGCAGAAACGACGTGGAACCATCTTGAGCTTCAGCCTCAGATAGTTTCTCCCTCCCGCCAACACCACGTGTGATTTGCATCCTTCGCCGCTCACTTCCAGTTACACGGCTTCAGCTCTATTCTCGTTTCCTCCGAGGTTGCATTTGCCCCGAAATTAGCTTCCGACAAAGGTCTTACTGAGAGTCTCACTCACAGCTCTCACTCTCATCCGAGACACTCATCGACTTTTTGGGTTATCAGCCGTCTTACGCCTCGCTCAACACCACCAGTCTGGGCCATTTTATCCCATTCCTCTAAATATCGCAAGGTGGTTTTCAGGAAATTGGGTTATAAGTTAACCTTCGACCGGACCCTCACCCGTCCCACTGGTTTTCGCCTTTACGACTCTTCCCCTTCTCTCGTCAATCGTCAACATGTCGACCTCCGAGAAAGACATCAAGTCCGGCGCTGCGGTCGACCCCTCAATCGAGGTCGAGTACGCCAGCGACCCCGACAGAAGTGGTTTCGACCAGGCTGCTACAAAGAGACTGCTGCGCAAGATCGACTGGACTTTGATTCCTTTCCTTGCCCTGCTGTACTTGCTATCCTTCCTGGACCGCACCAACATTGGCAATGCTCGTCTCGCTGGCATCGAGAAGGACCTGGGTATGGCTGGCCTCGACTATAACGTCGCCCTCTCAGTCTTCTTTCCCTGGTATGTCGCTGCCGAGATTCCCTCCAACTTGGCCATGAAGCGCTTCCGCCCTTCCATTTGGATCCCCTGCATCATGATCGCCTGGGGTATTTGCTGTACCCTCATGGGCCTCGTGCACAACTACGCCGGACTTTTGGCTGCTCGCATGGCTCTTGGTCTTGCTGAGGGTGGTCTCTTCCCCGGTATCACCTATTAGTGAGTAACCCCCCGTCTGAATCCATCTAATGTCCCCAGACATCTGACTCCTCTATTTCCAGCATTACCATGTGGTATCGACGTCACGAGTGCGGTCTTCGCATGGCAATTTTCTTCTCTGCTGCTACCGCTGCTGGTGCCTTTGGAGGTCTTCTGGCCCGAGGCATCGTTGAGATGAAGGGCATTGGCGGTAGACCCGGCTGGGCCTGGATTTTCATCCTTGAGGGTATTCTCACTCTCGCTGTCGGTAAGTTGCGATTTCCATGGCTTCATGTGAAACAAGTGGCTCGATACTAATGGTACCTTGTCTTGAACAGCCATCGCCGCATTCTTCGTCATGAACGACTACCCTTCGACTGCCAAGTTCCTCACTGTTGCCGAGAAGGAGGAAGTCACTCGTCGTCTTGAACAGGATCGCTCCGCTCTTGCTGATGAGTTCAGCATGGTTTACTTCAAGGATGCCATGAAGGACTGGAAGATCTGGGTTCACATGGTGAGTTGCAGTACCCAGATAATTCTGCTGTACCATGCGCGATCATACTGACAGATCCTTAGCTCATCACCATCGGAATCTACACCCCCCTCTACTCCTACTCTCTCTTCCTCCCCACCATCGTCAGCGGCCTCGGATATACCAACGAGACGGCCCAGCTTATGACCGTTCCCCCCTACATCGTGGCTTGCGTGTGCTGCATCAGTGGTGGTTGGATTGCCGATCGCCATCGCCAACGTGGAATCTACATGATCTTCTTCTGCCTTATTGCGTATGTATTCCATCTCATGGCGCAGAGCCAAACTGCAAACTAACACTATTGTCACAGCATGACTGGCTTCATCATGCTTCTCTCCTCCCAGAGCAACGGAGTGAAGTACGCAGGCTGCTTCTTCGCCGCTTCCGGTATCTACCCCAACGTTCCCCAGGGTGTCGCCTGGAACGGCAACAACATTGGAGGCTCTGTCAAGCGAGGTGTTGGTATTGCCATGCACGTCGGTAAGTCTTGGTCGATATCAAATAGTTTCCATGAAGTAAATTGCTAACGGGTGGCATAGGCTTCGGTAACCTCGGTGGCGCAATTGCTGGTTTCCTGTACCAGGCCAAGGACAAGCCTCACTACTACCCCGGTCACGGCACCCTCCTGTCAACATTGACCATGTCGATGATTCTCTCTACCTTCATGACCATTTACCTCCGTCGCGAGAACGCTCGCCGAGACCGCGAGTACAAGGATCCTTCCCTCTACACTGCCGAGGAGAAGGCTGCTGAGCGTCACAAGGGTGACAACGCCAGCTTCTTCCGCTACACGGTTTGAGTGGAATATGAGTCTGTTGGATTCAAATGCAATGTTTTTAGCACAGTATATTGGTGTTCTTATCTGTATATCGCATCACATACGCGGATGATGCACATGCTATAGAGAAAGAATGGGAGCTTCAAGGGGATAGATCTGGATATTCGAGGTCACCTTGGAGCTGGATAACAAAATAGAGGCACATCTACGTCAAGATATTCCAATGCAATGCAGTACATTTGAAATGTGACACGAACGCAGGGCTGTATGAGCTGTCAGTAATACGAAGCATAGCAGGGGTACTGCGCTTGATTCTCAATGAGAATTCTGCCACGAGTCCAGTCGAAAATGCGTCCCCGCGAGTACTCACATAAAAGATACCAGATGAAATTCAGGACCCCAATCTGCAATCATACATGGCCCTATCCGACGGATAGCTCCTCCTCTTCCACCTCATCTGGCAACGCCTTGGCCTTGTCCTCAAGGGGGGCGGAGTCCTGCCAATACTCTTGGCCTTGACATCCTTTCCCCCGAGACTAGGGGTACCTAAAAGAAACTTGGGGGAAAACCTGGGGTAAGGCAAAAGCCAAATGAGGGGAATATCAATGCCAAGATTGACCTCAATGGGACAGGGTGACAAGGGGCATGTTTGCATTTGAGGGGCCGAATCTGTGATTGTCTGCGAGATCGGGCAAACTTCATGTTTGACAGACCGTCCCGTGTGACGGGTTCAAGGTACATTAGTACTATACGACTGGAACCTGCCGAGTGAAGCACGTCATGCAAATGTGAGTTTGACAAGTTGGGCTGTGGGACGAACTGCTGCATTTCCGTTTCTCCGGCCGTGGGGGATATGGGCTCGGAGAGTGACGAGGCCCTCCAAGTCTCACGTGAACTTACCTTGGAGCTAATAATCGTTCATACGGGAGTCCCAAGACCTACAGCCTTGAGGCTTTCACGATACTTGGGCGTCCTAGGGTCATGAGCCGGTCTTGCACGGGCGTTCTGCTACTTTCTGCCAGGTTTTCCATTATGTTGGCACCGTGATTTTGCAGGGGATACCCGAAAGACATAATGACAAGTTCGCTGGAGACTAGATTGAGTATATGATGTATTACAGGTACGATAGCTAAGAACAAGCATCTGTCTCAGAAAGGATTTCATTCCTATTCAAAAGACTTTTTTTTTCTTTTTAGCATATTGTCTCGATCTTTGACGTGCCTACCTAAGCTGCAGGATTGGACGGAGGGGAAGAAAGGCTATGGCTAAGTTCACTAGGCAGTAACATGGCGCTTTTCTCCTCCTAAAAGTACGGAAAAGCATTCCAAGATCATGGGTATGGCGCGCAGAGTCGAAATGTCTCAAGATTTCATGAAACCTGCATCATTTAACTGGATGGATCTCGTGTATATGACTACCACGGCGCCTTGGTCATTTCACTTTAAGAATGAAGCTACGATAGATAAGTTGGAAGAAGTCGTAACACAAAAGACGACCTACTTACCGGAAAGGATGAGCAGAAAGAAGTCGGAGGGCGGGGCCGATGGGTGGGGCTTTTCCGACCAGCGGACGGATATACCGGAGGTCTGTTGCATGTGCCAGAGTGCCGAACGGCTACCGGCTACCGGCTACTGATGACCGGCCTCCGTGATAATTACTGGTACATGGAAATACACCAGGGGTATTCCAGCCTCCATACGCATGTAGTCTTCAGACAAAAACACCAGGAAGACTTGGATACTTTTCCTTCACTCATCCCTGAACCAGTTCAAAGCTTCCGTTCTTGGTTTTCCTCGTTTCTTTTCGCCTCTCCCACCGCTCCTTTCCCCAACTGCTTCAAACCTCAAACCCTGTGACAAGGAAACTAGTCACAAAATATAAAGGCTAGTGATGATGACTAGTAGTTGCGAAGATGCTAGGCGTACTGTTTGAGCTCGGCCTCTCATTTCTCTCCGTGGAGCTAGGCCGTATATACCCGGGAAATATCAGTACTCAAATCGACACTAATACTCGAAGATAGTGACGAAGCATAAATCTCTAGAATAGTCTCCTAAGCCTGTGATGCCATAAGGCTCGACGATGTTCTAGACATGGCCGCATATCCAACTTCTCACGTCTGGTGTCCGTCCTATGGACGGACGTCTCTGCACTCTCTGAGAAGGCTCTTGGGAATTTGTAGCTTTAATTTTTTGCACAACGAGACGATAGTACCATAAGAAAAAGCCACAAGCAAAAAAGAGTTCACCATCGGTGTGGCTACATCTCTTGGCGGTTATTATGGTGCTCATGCCGGGATCGTATGCGGACTCGAACTCGGAGCCTGTCGAGGTAGGCTATTGGAGGGTAATCAATTTGTTGATCTTTTAACCATTCCACCATCCAGCCAGTTTGACCTGACCCGCCGACCTAGACGGACGCCTGCGTGCTGGTGATGGGAATGGAATTGAGGGGGAGTATATACCCTTCTCGTGTGTCCAGATGGATGGTAAGCGTCAAGTGCGGAAGGTACGACCAATACTAGCAGACCAGGAAGAAGGAGCTGAATGCGCTGAATCCATGATAATCGACGCCAATGTAAATGATTCAGTCAATGTTGATGACTGTGATTTTGGCGACGGAACTCTTTGCAGGTTCCTCCGAGAGATGCACCGTATAGTGATAATTGGCGGCACGAGTCGACGCTCTAGACCCCAAAGGGTCCGGATATTCATATTGATACGACATTGTGGCTTCTACCTAGGCTTGATCCCTTGCGTAGGGCGGCTATGGCTCTAGACTTTGATAAACAGCCTGAAATGCATCGCTAGTATGCTAATTTGCTGGATATGTTGGCTAATTACCCGACGCTACCGGACACATCGCCACAATATAAAGCGACCTTGGATCTCTTTAGACTTCTGTACGGTACCATGAGAACTAGAAAGCTGTCGATGGTGTTGTATGTGGCATCCTACTTCTCGATAATTGATGCATGGAAAGGCTTGAGAACCGGCTATAAAAGGGGGGCTCGCATGATGTATGCCATCCAACAGAGTTGGTCACAGAAAAGTAGATTCTCTCACTTGGAGTTCCTCAATAAACTCATATTCCCTCAACCTTGGCAGATCCTAAAAGCCGTCATGCTTCGAGCCACCGCACTTCTCCTCGCCGTGTTCGGCTCCGCAGCCGCTCTCCGCATCAAGAGCGTCACCCACAGCGGACCAGCCTGTCCCCAGAGCGACAGACTGACCTGGTCCGGCGGCCTGGACGATTTGACCATCACCCTCCCCGACTTCAGCGAGACTATAGCTGCCGGCCAGACGACGAGCTGCCAGGTACACCTGCTCATCGACGAGGGCGATCCGGGTAAGGCTTTGCTGCTGCAGGATGTTACCGTCAGCGGGGGGCTCTACCTGAGTTCTAACACCAAGGTCGATTTCTATACGACGGCTTATTGGTCCGAGACGGCTTCTGATACTGTGAGTCGTTGTACATGCTTGTTGGGGGTTCGATGGAGGAAAGTTGCTGACTGGTCGAACAAGGTTGCCAAGTCTACGAGCACGGCGTCGGGCTCGGCGGCCGTTTTCCGGAACGTGGATGTGGCTCAGCGAGTGAACTCGGCGTCTCCTTGTACTGGTAGCGATGGCTATGTCGGAATTCTGAATGTGGCTTTTCGCATCATCTCCCAAGGCGGGGGGTTGGTTTTCTTTGGTAAAGAACGCAAGGATGTTGATACGTCTCCGGTCGTAGAGTCGCTTGCTTTCAAGTGGCAGAGCTGCTAGAAGTAATTGTGCATATAGATGGCGAAGATGACGAAGATGACGAAGAGGTTGGCAAGATTGAGGGGTAGGTATTGCAAAAGGATGTCTAAGGAGTCATTTACAAGAAATATGGCATTAAACTCGTCTGCAAGCCGGATACAAGCTCACTACTACAAGGGGCAAAAGGCTCACGTCAAACACCAACGTCTTCCATTAACCGTCAACGAGTCTTGTGATACAACACATTACATTGCTACATAGACGACGTGCGTCAACAGTCATAGACATGTTTCCAGTCTCTACTGCCGCTGCTGATATTGTCCTGAAAATAGACCTGCCGTGGAATAGCACGACGTGAAATCCGTATAACCGCTATCCCCGCCAGTCAAAACGCCAGTAGGCCTTGGATCATCGTCGTGAGAAGGCATTAGCATATATGGCTGACGACCCTATTCCAAGAGTTGTCATTGCCAATGCTCTGTAAGCCGCCAAGACCGGTCGGCTCTCAATGGCAATCGTCGTCACGTCTCCACCCAAAAAGCGGGATGTGGGCGAATGCCACTACGTCTGCCCAAGGCGCATTCCCGCGGGGACGCAGTCGGAGTCGCCGACGGATCGTCGAAAGAGGAGAAGAAAAAAATCAGCTTCGTCGGCGCGACGCGTCGCGCGTCTAGTGGATATCGTTCGTTACAGTCGTAATTCGTAGCAGAGCTCGCGGGATGCCTCAATGTAGACCACCGAAGTCCGTGCAGGTCTATCGGTGATGCAACCCGAACCTCCAAGGACGAGAAGTCCTGGAACCCCCCCGATCGATTCCTCATCTCGTAGGCAAGAAGCTCTTGGAGTCGCTCTCCTGCTCGGAAAATGATTGAGGGAAAGCGGCGAGACCTGCGACGATGGCGACGGCCATGAAAGCGACACTGATGAAGGACCAAATCAGGCCCCAGCAGCGAGAGGATCCGCCGTAGCGTTGAGCAAAGACGCTCGCGTCGGAGCTGTTGACCTTGCGCATGATGAGATCGTCGCAGATATCCCATACGGAGTAGAGTGAGCTCATGACTCCGATGAAGAGCTACGAATTTGTTAGCCTGACTGATTTCTGACCACGCACAAATTAAATGAGATGGCAGGTTTGACTTACAACAACGAATCTGAGGGCTTGAGCGTGGGAAATGAACCACGCCGCGACGAGCAGACCAACAGCAAGAAGAACAGTGAGAATCGTAAGCCAATCCCGCTTTCCCCACCAAAGAGTCAACAGGAAACATACGCCAAGAACCATGGAGGCAATCTTGGACGCGTTAATGTTGAAGCCACAAAAGATGAGCAGCCCGCCGATGAGCGATGAGCCCAAGTAGCCCGCAGGAAGGGTGATGGCCTGCTTGCCGCCCTTCATGAGCGTGGCACCGCCCTCGTTGGGGTCCAGAGTAATAGAGAGGACCTTGCCGCCGGTACAGCAAGCGGTGATGGCGTGACCGAATTCGTGAAAGGCAATGACAAGCATCTTGAAGGGCCAGAGGACCTGACGGAGAAAGGGCACGTTCCAGAGGATGGCGATGATGACGGCGTAGGCGCCGATGACGCCTAGGGTGACGGCCTGGGTGTGGTTGACGGTGAGATCGCGGCGGGCGAGGGCGTGCTTGGTTGTTGCGCGGGCGACTTCGGGGAGTACGACGACGGCGGCTCTCTTCCAGACTTGGTTTGCGATGGCACCAGCGCGAGCGAGGCTCTGCCTGGCCGTTGTTGGAGGGACGGGGGCCATGGTGAAGTTTTTGGTTGCTTGGTTGTATCAATAGCGACAGACTGGGTGTGGAGGTTGTGGTGAATGAGTGAGTAAACACAAGAAAGAGAGAGGTCAAGACCGGTCGCGGAGTGTCAGAAGCGAGAGTTTCTCATATGTATAAGCAGAGTATTCGTACTTGGCAACCTGATCATACGAAATGCCTTTGGTATTACGACAGATACGTAAACAAGCTGGTGCAAGTTGCAGGGCTTACGTGGAGGTGGGCTGGGCTGAGGCTGGGCCGCATTCCCCCCGTTTCTCCTTTTTTCTTGTCTCTTTGCCAGGTTCTTCAGGTCACAGGAGGTCTTCCTCGTGGTCGGCCTCTCTCGTCTGAACTCCAGTATTTTTCCCCAAGCACAGACAGGCTGGGGGACGCGCCTTGGACGGCCTGGGATCTGAACCAACTTTGAAAGGCCCTGGCAGATGAAAAGGGGTCCACCCGGCCCCACCCGGCACCCGGCACTGACGCTGAGCATTGGCACTGCCACACTGCGACATGCTGCCGCTGTTGTCGTGGCAGTGGTCGCGGTCGTGGTGGCTGGGCAGGGCCGGTTTGCTATTTTTGGAATGTGTGGCTTCAATTCACGTGATTTGATAAAGGTGGCTGGTGTATGTGGCTTGATTTTCTGGATATGACAACCAGCAATCCGTTATTACATAATGCTAAGGGAACCACAAGGATCGATACCATTCATGCAGGTGGACGTTTTGGCTTTCACGTTTCACCCAACGAAAACATGACGTCTCTCACAGAGTTGTAGTGCCCTCCCTCACTCGGTGGTGGTGCGGTGCAACTCATGCGCCGGCGGCTCAACATTATCAACCTTACCTTAGGTCGCTGAGGTGCTGCCTCGGCCCCCGAATACGAGCAACCTAATAGCTGCACGCGGGGTTTCCCAACCATCTTGTCTTGAAGAAGAAATGTGTGGACTGTTCCTAATACCCTAATGCTCCTTCCTACTGGCTTAGAAGCTCCCATCTGATACTAAGCTCCCGAAGCCACCAAACAGCTGTCCATTTCTGGTCAATTCCGAGTGCCAATCCATCTGGTTTGAGAATCAACGAAAGCTACAGCAGTCCTCAGTTGTATCGTGATTGACTTCATCTTTACTTGCACTCTTCTTAGTCCTGCATCGACGAACAATGGCTACTGCAGTGGACACCTCCAATACGGAGCTCAGCAAGCAATATGACACTCCCATGGGTCTGGCTCACTCGACTATGCAGGCTCTCAAGGACAGGATCAAGACTCACTATGACCTCGCGAGTGACTACTATCTGAGTCTTTGGTAAGCTGTCACTGGCTTTATCTCCGTCCCGTGCGCACGCTTCGTGACAAGACCTCCAGTCTCAATTGAGGCGCAACACACTTCCGCATTCTTGACACCCAGACTTAGACTGAACCCAGTCTGTGCCCTCCTCACGCATCAAGTCCCGGTGCTGTGTGACCATATCCGCCGAAGCTGACTTGCTCCCCGTGTTGCAGGGGTGAACACATCCACCACGGTTACTGGGAAGACGGCTCCGAAACAAAAGAACAAGCCCAAGTAAAGCTCATCCAGCTCCTCCTCCAGCTCTCCGGCGTCAGCGAGAACAGCAACGTCCTCGACGTCGGCTGCGGCATCGGCGGCACCTCCCGCTACCTCGTCTCGACCCTCGGCTGTTCTGTGACAGGCATCACCATCTCGACCAAGCAGGTCGAGATCGCCAACAGACTCACAAAGGCTGAGGCGGGAAAGCAACAGGCATCTGCTACGTCCACTGCGTCTGCTGCGTCTGCGACGGAGACGTCGGACAAGGCAAAGGAAATCGAAGCCGACGCCGATGGCTTCGTCCCGCTCGGCCGCGGCAGGATTCGCTTCATCGAGCTCGACGCCGAAAAGATGGGCGACTTCTTTGCTGGGCAGAGCGCTTCGTTTGAAGCCGTGTGGATCAGCGAGGCGCTGAGCCATTTCCCCAACAAGGCCCTCTTCTTTGAGAATGCATTCAAGGTCCTCAAGCCTGGCGGGAAGCTCGCGTTGGCGGATTGGTTCAAGGCTGAGAATGTCACCGAAACGGAGTTTGCTAATGATCTTAAGCCGATTGAAGGTGTGTTTAACCACTCCCGTATTTACTCTGAATGAAGAGGTGAGAAACTGATTGTTGACTGGCTATATATCAGATGGCATGCTTCTTCCACCGCTTTGCACGCAGCAGGGCTACATCGATTTTGCCAAAGGTGCCGGGCTGTCCTTGCTCGCGGGCCCAAAGGATATCAGCAAGGAAGTGGCCAGAACTTGGTGAGTGGCCACGTAAAGTAAGACTACATAAAGTGGCCCAGAATAACACTGTCTAGGGACATCACATGGACTCTGGTCCAGAACCCCTCCCTGTGGGCCTTTGCCTTCAGTCAGGGCCGAGATGGTATCGCATTCTTGCAGTCTTTCCGCGCAATGAGGCGTGGGTATGCTAATGGGACTTTCCGATATGCTGTCATCTCTTTTGAGAAGTCTAGCGGGAAAGCGTAGAGAGGATCTTGAAGATGAAATAATCTCAAGGTGGGAATGTAGCTCTGGGCCCCATGATGCACGAAAAACGAACGAGTCGTATCATAAACACAGCTGTTGATTACAATGGTATTGCCTTCTACATGGATGCAACTCAGTCGATTCCCAGCCGTTAAGTCATCGGACGTACGTATTTACATTACAAAGCCTTTAATACAATCCCTGTCTTTGCGAAGCTGAAAATTGAGCTGGAAAAACAACCACAAATCTTCCTCAGAAATGACATCGAGGAAGCCTGTCCTCTTACAACAACCTCAACCTAGCTTGACTACAACCGTGCAAATCAGGGAGCTACGAACTCGTCAATGTTGACTCGCTCGAAGAAGCTGATATGGCCAAATCCGACCCAGTATTGAGCAAGTCGGTCATGGGAGACTAGCATAAGCTGAGACTCAATATACTTGTCTGAAGAAAATGGTTAGCAGGTATCCAAATCTTGGCTTTGCAAAAGGGGTGACATACCATCTAAGAAGCCCGTTCCAGCGACATGGCCTTTGCTCTTGACGACTCGTGTGCCCTGAAACGGTGGCTCTTGAGCAATGCCAACGAAGCCTGCCTCGCCCAAATCGTCCGCAACAAAGGTATACTCTCCTCGCGGGACGTTGGGGTCGCCAGTGAGTTTAGTTGCCTCTAAGCGGCCCCGGTAGACTCTTGCGTCAATACGGCGCTGCGTCCACTCTTTGTCAGACTCATCAGAGCCACGGACAAGACCGAGTTCCTCATCCGAGACTTCCTCGTCATCGGGCTGATTGATCAACAAGAACTCGCAACCATGCCCGC